ACACACACAGGCATGTGAGCAAATCCACTGAGAATCTGAGACAGAACTTCCTCATGATGTCAATAACACCATCAACCAGTTGAGTGAGAGATTTTTCACACAGCCCTCGTTTGAGCAACAACCATCGAGCTCTCAGTCATGTTTATGTGCTGGATCAGAATAAGAGTTTGCATTGTTCTGCCACAGATGAATTTACAGTAGAAACATCAGTGTTCTCTGTGTGTCATGGATTTGGCTCTCATCATATGTGTGTTTGACGTGTTTGTCTTCGTTATTTCACGACGTTCACCTTGAGTGCAGCAGGTTGAGAGATTATCTGTCTGATAATGTGTCTGTCAGCTCTCTCTACTGATTACCTATAAACCCGTTAATCCTGCAGCGTTCAGGTTAACTCAACACTTCATCCGTGTTAAAGACTCTACCAGAGGAAACAGATACAGTCGCTTCACATTACAGTGCTTCTCTTACAGCAAAATCACGTGTGTTATTTTACCTGTGAGCGTGTCTGCAAATATACATGCGAACGTGTAAATTGTTCTCTAATCGCTATGGTTACAGTTTTTTCCAATTGCTAACACACTAAAATGACATGCACAGCACACTAAGAGTTATTAGTTTGATGCGTTGGATCAAACACAAGGAATCTGCATTTTAAAAGAAAACGTACTTTGCTGTATTGCTATAGAACAAACACTTCATTTATAGAATGTAAAGATAAATAAATATGAGTTAGAATATTATTAAAGAACTTTGTGTCACAGAGGACAAAATCCACTCATTTCTCATTAAGTTCACTACTTTTACCCACAATTCTTTAAATTCAAGATTCAAGATTCAAGATTCAAGATTCAAGATTTTTATTTGTCACATTTAATAGAAGAGATGAAAATGTCTAGGTTATTTACTACAGGAACAAACCGTTATCAATAGATAAACATTTCAAATGACTTGGGAAACAGACAAATACAGGACGGCACCAGACTTTAATGCAAATAAACGAATCCACTGAATGGAAATGATACTGAGGTCAAAGGTCACACACACCAGGAGGAAATCCTCAGTGTTTCTTTGTTACTTGCTTCTTTTTGATATCCAATGTATAAACTCTAACAGGAGAGTTGAATTTAAAACTGTGATGATTGTTGGGAACGTTTCTGAGCTACAGTCACATTAAAGAGAATTTACAATTTTCTCGATTGCTAACACACTATAACTGATTAATTTGGCCCAATTTTCCAAACCATTCATGCAGTTCCTGAAACAAAGACATGTTTCTCAAAGCTTTTAACACATTTCACCTGTTTTCACACACGCTCCAATTTGCTCAGTGTTTTCTGCAAAACTCTACACAAAAACGCTATCATTTTGCACAGGTTTAACCATGTTCTCATTCAGAAAACACAAACACACAATATAATTAACACAAGCATCAACAAATGAACTCAAACAGCACACATTTATCCATGTGTGAATATTCAGTAGCAAAACTGACGACACACAGGTCAGAATCTCAGGATGATATGAACAGGAGCACACGTGATTATGTGTTTTGGAAAATGAATCCTGGTAGTGGGAGACAAAGAGGAATTGGGGGGGAATAAAAACGAATGGGATGAGGTCAAAGGTCATTTTGAGCATGTTCTTCTGCATGGACTGACCATGAAGGAAGTTGGCCTACAGGCTCATCTACAAGGTTTCAATACTACTTACACAATACACATACAATATAATTACAGTACATAGCAGCAGCACTTCAGATGAGAGAACTTTCATTATTCTATGTACAGTAAATGCTGTAGTACATATGTTGTACACGCTCAAACTCATCACTGTTGAATTGATTTGAAGCCAAGTATGTACTGTATTTGTGCAAAACTGAGAGACGACTGTCTAGTGGAGGCAGAGAAGTCTTTTGTCAGAAGACTAAGAAACTGCTATAACAAATAAGGATACTACCAATACTGTAATGCAAATTGGTACCTCAAGCGTGTGACGGAAATGTTACGCCCCTTACTATGGGATTACATCTCTGCCACAATTCTGCGCGAAATAGTTTTGTGGAGAAAATGTTTGTCTCGCAAAGAAGAAAGTATTTCGAGCGCACGAAAATCAATTTTGCATTTAAAATACGTTTTTGGATTTGTGCAGACCTTCTCTTTTGCGCGTGCAACGTTTCACTAGCTTGCTCCCTTGATGCCCGCCCTCAGTGCACTGCTTTCTAAATGCCAACGGCTCGCTTGCTCAACAAAACCCAGCGTTACAATATGCTATAATTCCAGCCAATCAGAGACGAGGCTGCTAAATTCTGATTGGCTGCCTTGACAACCAATCACAACATTTCTTGCATTACCTCGACAGCAGAAGAGGAAAAATGCAGTGCATGCATAATTATGTAAGTTGATATTCTGATCATATTTTTTTCCAAGCACATCTGACCAATTCTAAACGACATCAATCTTAATAACTACTATTAATCTTGTATTTAGTTATTTATAATTGATATATAATTATTCATGAAGGCTGTAAGTGAAAAAGTCTTATATTCAGGTGTGCATAATTATTAAGTAGATTTTCTTTTACTTGGGCTCGAGTGAGCGGCGGCCGGCGGGCTAGAGTGAGTGGAGGCTGGCGGGCTAGAGTGAGCGGCGGGCGGCGGGCTAGAGGGGGGGACGGTGTAGGACACGCTCACCTTGCTGTTGTTTGCCTGTGGAGTTTGGCTGCGCTGTGTGTTCTGCTCAGTCCCGATCACTGGTATCAGAACCGTGTGAGATCCGTGCGGTCCAATCACCGATACTGGATACAACAGCAGATTGAAACCCTCTCCAACCGGGAACTGAACACAAATACACACATACAAAAGTATGGGTATTTCTATAGCAGACACTCTTGAAGAAATGTGACCCTGGAGCACAAAACCAGTCAATTTTTTAGATTAAATAACTTTCAATTAAATAATCTTTCCATTGATTTATGGTTTGTTAGGATAGGACAATATTTGGTCGAGATACAACTATTTGAAAATCCTTTTTCGCTCTCATGCAAAACTCCCAGTCATGAGGTCACAATTTCACCCGCTAAATTTCACAGAGCAACTGTAAATGTGATCGCACCTTTATTGTTGGGAATGTAACCTATTAGTGCAAAGAAACGTCATGCACACAAACACGTAAACACACACACACACACACACACACACACACACACACACCTGCTCTGCCGGCTGAAGGAAGACTCCCCACACACACATCGCCAGGAAAAGCCTCGCCGCTTGCTCAGATCCGTGGAAGAATGACATGACTCAGTCTGATCTCTCAGCAGATGTGAGCGTCTGCGTCTGAGCAGCTGAATATAAAGAGCAGACACACACATGCATCACGTCTGTCTGACGGGGAGAGAGACATTCTGTCACCGCTCACACATTAGAGACAGACAGTTTAGGGGGATTTTGCATCAATTACATCTTAATTACAGAGTGAATGTTCCTAAACACATATTGACAGGTCACGTAAACGGAATGTGAAGCTGAACTCATTTAATGCTTAAATATCAAGTCAAGTCAAGTCACCTTTATTTATATAGTGCTTTTAACAATACAGATTGTGTCAAAGCAACTTTACAGCATTAAATAGGAAAATAGTGTGTCAATAATGCAAAATGATAATAGTAAACACTCAATTTTCAGTTAAAGGCAGTTCATTATTGAATTCAGTGATGTCATCATCCAGCTCAGTTCAGTTTAAATATCACACAGGTATCTTTCCTAAAATTAACAACACAGTTGAGTGTTTTTGTGATTTGAGTGATGAATGTTTACAGTTACATATAAGAGCTAAAACCGAACAGAGAGAGCTGACGTGGATAATCTTTGAAATAACAGCTTGTTTCTGTCTGCTGTGTGTGTAATGTGTCTGAATAGACCAGTAAAGCGCACACACACACACACACACACACACACACACACACACGTGGTCAGTCCTCAAAAGGTGAGTGGACAAGCAGAAGCCCACAAATTGTGATCAACTCCGAGAACTATCGCCATCAGTCAGGATTTAGCCCAGAAGCTAATATCCAGCATGCCAGAGCGAACTGCAGAGGTTATGAAGAACAAGGGTCAACACTGTAAATATTGACTCATTGTATTTTTTTGCCAATAAAAGCCTTTAAAACGTCTGATATGCTTATCATTGTTTTTCAGTATACCATAGAAACATGTGGAAAAATAATCTACAAATACTGAAGCAGCAAACTTTGCAAAACACAAAATTTATGTCACTGCCAAAACTTTTGGCCATGACTTGTATGTAATAGTATATTTGAATTGTATAGAAATATTACTTTCATCTATTTGATCATAATTATTGTATTGCAATTGGACATCGTTTTCATTTTATAGTAATATTCTTTTCATCTGTATGAATGTAATTCATGCATTTCAAATGGACAATTTTTTCATAAAAATATTATTTTCATCTGTATTATAATTTGTGTATTTCAAATGGATATTTACATATTTTCATAATTCATAATTCATTTCATAATTCATGCTTTTCAAATGAACATTTTCATTTTATAGAAATATTTTCATCTGTGTGTTCATAATTCATGTATTTCAAATAGACGTTTACATATTTTCATAATTCATGTTTCATACAATTTTGTTTATATTTTCATAATTAATTTCATAGAAATATTATTTTCTTCTGTCTTATAATTCATGTATTTTAAATGGACTTTTTTCATGTTTTCATAATTCATACATTTCAAATGGAAATTTTCATTATTATAGAATTATATTTGATATATTTTTTAAATGTTTTATTATAGAAATATCTGTGATCATAATTCTTGTGTTTCAAATGGACGTTATTTTCAGCTGTAGCCTATAACTGAATTATCTGACTCAAATGAGCGTTTTGCTTTAAGAAAAGGTTAATACAAATGCAAACTTTCATTGTTCTATTTCCCAAATTGTAACACTTTAAATTCAGCTGAGTGATATTTTGCACTTTCAGCTGATTATGATGACTACTGTACATGATTAGGGATTAAAAAATCCAAAAATCGAAACAGAGTCCGATTTCGGTTGTGCACTGTCCTTCAATTCCTTCTGGCCACTTCCTAGCTCCGTTCAGGCCTGGCCCCACGACCAGAGCCCGCCATCCATTCGTGCTTCTTGACCTTTAGATGAATTTTCAATCATGAATCATAAAATGTCTCTTAGTATCATAATATGTTCTCCATCATATTTATGTATCCATTTGCTGTCACTATATGAGCTTGTAGATGCTTTGTTATTTAAATCTCGTTAATATATTTGTTTTTAATCTTTTTAGTTATTTATCTCCTAAGTGGCTGCTAAGGGTCTTTCTATGAGGGGTGTCTTTCTGAGAGGTAGAGTTAAGTAGTCTTAGGGTAAAAATGGGTAGGTTTAGGTTCTCCAGGGTTAGAACGGGTAGGTTTTAGGTTCTCAGGGGTTAGGTATATAGATAAAAACGAGTTTCACCCTCATTAATTCAACCCTCATTAGCATATGCGATCTGATTGGCCAAAGCTTACCTGGCCATATCTGGTGAAGCAGAGGTCCGATGTGCACATAACTGGTATCGTTGGATTCAGCAAGCTGTCGTCTTTCAGGTAGCGTGGATGTATGGAGGAAAGGGTGTTGCTTTCAAATCCAATGTGAACGTACAACAGTCTAAAGTGTGACAAATAGGAAGTCAGTCATCGGTAAAGGCAAGAAATACATCCAAATGAAATAACCTGTGAAATCAATTGTCTTTTTAGCAAGAAGGTATTACAAGCCTGTATAAAAACAGTTTTCCAGCCAGTTTGTGTGAGTGCGTGTGTGTGAGTGTGCACAGGTGTGTGTGAGAGTGCACAGAAGTGTGTGTGTGTGAGAGAGAGAGAGAGAGAGAGAGAGAGAGAGAGTGTATCATTAAAAGTTAGACTTGAAAGATGTCTGTGAATAAAGTCAGCCGCTCAAGAGCTCCCCCTGGAGTGTTATTTTCTGCTAAAATATAGGAATCCTTAGCAGTTTCTAAAACATGGCTATTCACAGTTTTATCCAGGAGAGGGCGACTGAGAAGCCAAGGGTTATTTCCTGGAGAAGATAAATAGATAGACAGATAGATAGATAGATAGATAGATAGATAGATAGATAGATAGTTTACGTAGGTCCTGATGTGGTCAGAGTCTCTCGTGGAAGTGAAGTCACGCCCACACCGCATGAATGACACGACAGGTAAACAGTATTTCTTACTGATGTAATTTCAGTTTGACAGCAGTAGGAGTTATAATTGCATGGACTGTGATACATTCAGTTGCTGCCTCATTTGTTACTTAGTCAATCAAATCATCAACTAATTATATCTTTCTTTTCATTCCAATGCACTAAAGATGCACATGAATGCACGCGTTTTTAAATATTTCTAATTACTAAAAAATGAAAGAGAGAGAGAGAGAGAAACATATTTTAAAAAATGGTACTTTTAGACCTTTGCTGTCTGGTGGAGAGGAGCGTATAGGATGTTGAATTAAACCAGTTGTAAAGTTTCCAAGAATCTCTTGTAGTGTTGGTACATCAGAGGGTCTGTAGGCCAAACAGATATCCATTACTGCAGTTCTTCATTTACATGTTAACATGATTCAACAATAAACAAACTTTACACCCCAGTGAATAATTTTTTTCCCACTTGCATTCATTATGTCATAATTTGCTTTCAAATGTTCACACCTGTAGTTAGTTGTAAATAAGAACTCTATTTTTAAAATGATTACATCCACAGAGATGCATCCGCCGGACAGTGGCGTGGACAGCCCTGGGTTCAGTGATGTAAGTACAAAAAAAATACTGCATAAAATAAAAGGCTAATAAAATACTCTATATTTATTTTTTAAAATTGCCTTTATTTCTAGACAGCGACCACTGAACTAATAAGCCGTACAGTAAGTTGAGCTTTGTGCATATGCCTTTACACTGCGACTATAATATGATGTGCAGTTTGACAATCTGTTGAGTTGTGTTGTTCTGCAGGACAGTGAGCACACCTCCTCCGCTGACGAGTGGGTCCAGCAGGGCCCCAATCTTCCTCCTCTTTTCCCCCCTCATCCTCCTCCACCTCCACCTCTTCCCATTTTACCTCCTCAGGAGGATCCAGAAGATGTAATGGGAGTATTAGATGTAGCATCTTAAACTCAAGTGTAGCTGCCACTGTTTTGGTAATGTTCTTTTTCCTCCCTCTCTGCAGTATTTTGCCGATGATGAAGAAGATTTTTAATAAATATATATATTTTTAAACTTAAAGATCATTATGGTGTCCTTCTCTCATTATTATTGATCATATAAAATTATCACTGGTCTACACACAGATTTCTCTGTAAAGAAAACCAGAGACAATTTAAACTGATTTCTTCTTATTTTTTATTTATTATTATTGTTGTTATTATTATTATTTTTTTTGTAAATGTGAACAATGTGCCATGAGGAAGTTCTTGGGGGTCCCTATACATGATTAAATATTAATGTTATTATTGGTGATATACTTGCTGGATAGATTAATTACAGTTGTGCAAAAAGACTCACAGATATTCACAGAAGGTGCTGGAACCCTACAGGTCATACTTAGAAGGGAGAGGTTATTATGTGAGTATAGGAGAGCACAAGTCTAAGTGGACATCCATGACATGCGGAGTCCCACAAGGCTCAATTCTTGCACCGCTCTTGTTTAGCCTGTATATGCTCCTATTAAGTCAAATAATGAGAAAGAACCAAATTGCCTATCACAGCTATGCTGATGCAATTAAGGTCAAATTAGTGGTCAAATATCGGCCTCTACCAAACGGTTGATATGTCACTGTATGATAAAAATACCGGAATTCATTCACATACTACGAAAATCGGAAAATATGAACTATAATACAAATTTATTTTAAAACATAATCAAAATAAAATAGTTTTGTATATCGAATCTTCTTTATTTAAATATGCCATGAAATATTTCAGGTTTTCATTTTAACACAAGAAATTATATGTTTTCTTGTTTTTTAACAATAAACAAAAATAAATAACACAAATAACTAAAAGTAACAAAACCAAAGACATTACATTCTATAAAAAATAGCAAAAGATAGTAATATAATGGAATTTTAGGCTTTTATGATTCAAGAAACACGCCGTCAATTGTGGTAGCGCAACAGGATTTTTTTTCGTTCTTTTTTTAGATAAATTAACATTTCTTTGTAAACCAGCAATGCTGTGCACTGTAGGTATCCTCTGGCTCCTTCAAGGAAACTGTTTTTAGAGTGTGTTTTCCTTTTCTTACATGGAAGCATTGTAGAGGATGTGCTTGTCGAGGGAGCATCATCTTCATCCAGGGACTCAAAAGAACTGTCACCAGCTACCTCTTCTCGGATGGGGTGATAATCCGGATCCTCTATTGCAGTGGTTCTCAAACCTCTCCATGAAGTACCCCCAGCTCTGCACATTTTGTATGTCTCCCTCTATCTGACACACCCACTTCAGGTCTTGCAGTCTCCAATAATGAGCTGATGAGTTGAATCAGGTGTGATAGATGAGGGAGACACAAAATGTGCAGGGCTGGAGGTACTCCAGGACAGGTTTGAGAACCACTGCTCTATTGGGTCATCAACATCACCGAGATCAGCATCAGAGTCTTGGGGGTTTTCTGATACAGGGGCCTGAAGAGTGTGCATTCTTGTACAATAGAAACGGTTGACATCCATCTAGTAATTGTAAAACAACAACAACAACAAACAAATAAATAATCTCTTACAATTTTAGTAATGTTAGTACAGCGGCATTTGTCATTTGAGAAGTAATTGCCTCTGATGATTATGATTTCCACACATTAAGTCTATGAATTCAATATATTTACTTCAAAAAATATCCAAACGTGGCAAAAAAATACATACTTAAGAAATGATCTCAGTATATTCATGAAGAAATAACAATAGCTGTATCATATTCATAGCTATGAATGATCAGAAGTTTATATTTCTCAGCAAATAGTCCATTCTGACTGCAGAAATGGATGATCTGAAAACATTAGCTTAGCTTTTCTACGTTTACCATAAAGTGACAAATCAACCGTTTGGTTGAGCACGTTTTTGAAAAATTATTAAAAACATACTAAAGTTTTTTCATGGAACCGAGTAACATCATTTTGTAAAGTTAAGGCTCTTACAGTGTAATATATCAAAAAAATATGCTTACCTTGCCAAAATTCACCAAGAACAGTTCACATGGCAGGAGTGATTTCTTTGTTTCTGACATCCATGTTAGAAGAAGTGTTGTGACAAGTGCTGTTGATTGACTGACACTCTGACATCTAGTGGATTTTTTTGGCATAACATACTTCAAGCAGATGGCAGAGATGGCTCAACCAGCTTGAGTTAAGTTAGGTACTCCTCTCAATAAAATATAGTGACTCAAAATGTGCTCAACCATTTGGTCGAGCAGGCCGTTAGTACTTTTAATCATTTATAAATCACTCAATGGCCTAGGGCCTAAAAACATAGCAGATATGTTCACCGAATATAAACCTAACAGACCACTCAGATCATTAGGATCGAGTCAGTTAGAAATACCAAGGGTTCACACAAAATAAGGGGAGTCCGCTTTTAGTTATTATGCCGGCCGCAGTTGGAACCAGATTCCAGAAGAGATCAGATGTGCTAAAACATTAGCCACATTTAAATGCAGACTCAAAACTCATCTGTTTAGCTTGCACGTAGCAAGGTGTATACATATATATACACACACACACACATACATATGAACACACACACACACACACACACACA